CACTTAGATGATCAGACCGGCTTTCTCCTTCCACAGCCGGCCTTCGTGGCATCTCCACACCCTTGACGCCGCAGCGGGTGGAAAATGTGTAACGCATTTCCCGTTACCCCTCGAAGAAGCGGAACCTAAATGTAAAACCTAGTCTTGGGGTGGCTTTGGCAGCACACTGACCTCGAACACTTGGCGACCCCCTCAGCACGTGACGAAAACACAAGTCACACAACTCCATGGAGTGCTGCATCTGGCAACATAAGGTTGGAGATTCCGAGCAAATCAGTAGATCGCAAGTGTGATTTTCCGACAGACCCGAGCTTTGCCGCTGGCAAGCAGCAGCATCGCTCCGGGCTACGAGTCTACAAACCAAAAGGGCACCGAGCTGAGGCTTGCAGACATCACCACGGAGAGTGTTCTCTCATGCGCCGCCTCTTCCAGGACGTGTTGCTGTTGCTAGGGCCGTAGGCGCAGCAGCGGTCGCAGCTTCCATCACCATCTTGGTGGTGACTAAGGCTCTGCAAGGTCGTCGAACCATGACGTCAACTGCATCATGATCCGGCACCAGCAGGGATCTTCTTACTCTTGAGCGCCAAACACAGGAGCTCAAATGCTGCGTGCAGCAAGACACTTTCGCCGATAACGCTTTCGGCGATGCCTCAAAGTCGAGTGCAGAACAAGTACCTGTTGTTGAGCAGCCACCTAGCAAGTTATCTCTTTTGGCAAGTTAGCCTACTGCTTGGTTGAGCTAGACAAACGCAGTGGAGGCTTGCTGACGCCGAACTGATGCTCGAGTCGACTCAGAAGCTGTTGCAAAGTGTCACATTTTGGCCCCAAGTGCTGTTGGGACCTGCTGAGGCAAATTCATTAACACCTGCTGGGCATAATTCCATCCCTGAGCGGCACATTAATTGTGGCGTCATTGACGGCAAACATCCTCGGAGCCCACACCGCTCTAGAGGACGAATGCTGAATGCTGAGCATGCGCGCCGCCTGGACCGCGACGCGTAGAACCGAGACAGCTTCAAGCAGTGCAGTTCTACGCCTTGCCTTTCCCATATCCAAAAAGATGAAGCTCCAACCAACAGCACCAGGCGAGGTTTCTGGTGCTCAGGTTTGGGGCTCAGGCCAACATGCAAGGCCCGGGGTCCACGACTTGGGTGTGCAAACTCTGGGTGAGCTCCGGCCCGCGTAAAGGCATGTGCCAGACGTTGCAAAGCGCATCATTACAGATGGTACCTGCTGCTGTGCTGCGTCCTCAAGCTACAGCCCACTTCGACGGGAAGCAGTCCTCACATCTGCAACACTTTCTTCAACCGAGAGGCTCGGCAGCGCCTACCGTGTTCAAGCGGATGTCAATCTAAAAAACACAGTGGCTAATGAAAGCCATGCGACCCCACAATTGCACTGTGATTCGTCTGTGTTCGCCGGCGCGATCGAGCGCACACCCGGCGACGCAAACTCCGTGCCAGCATCGCTCCGACAAGTGTCTGCTCGGCACAGGCTTTGGCCATCCCCGACGTTCACGGAAGAAGGAACGGAAATTGCACAAGCCGTTCCTTCCCAAACCTCTGGCTTTCATTGTGTGGCCACACACCTCCTGTAAAGCCCACGGCCTGCAACTACGCATGTTTCAATGCAAATGCCAACGTTTCCATGGCTCCGATTCCCCGGGCCTCTTGGCCAAGAAATGGAGACCAGGGTGTGTTTGTCCAGAGCATAGGTGGTCGGGAGGAAGCTTGGCTTTGGCCAGAGCTCCCTTTCCATGATCAGCCCCCTGAGGGGTCTAAGCACTGCACTGGGAAGTTGCGCCAACTTCAGAGCATAGCAACGAGTGCCCATGAGCCTCCCTTTGTAGCTCTACAGAACAGTAGGACGATGACGGCGTGTATGAGTGCAGCTGCTAGCCGAACTCTGAGGAAGCGGGGTCTTCATAGACTTCCTCAAAGCATGAGATTTCAGTGCACATCTGGGCACACCTAGGCTGCGCGTCTTGTTCTTGCTGATGAAAAACAGATTCAGCAGATGCACCTGTAACCATGGCCTGCTGAATTTTCTGCCACGCTGCTTATAAGTGAAAGCACGAAAATGGTTACTGGAACAACAAGATTGCCGGAGAGAATCTGCACCCCTTTCTACTTCAATGCTCGCAGGAGGAGGAGGCGTAGTCACGCATGGTCGTCCTCGAAGAACTGACGTTTGCCAGAATACTCCGGTGCGGGAAGAGCTTGGGAAAGGCACGCAACCGCAGTTTGTCCGGTCGTGCCCGGGGGTTCATCAGCCGGCCAAGCGGCTGTGAAGCAAACGCGCTGGAGGATTCAGCGGGTGTTTTTCGGTTTCAACATCTCTCGGTGTTTTTGCCAGTTGCCATGGGTTTAGGACTTGGGATTTGGGGCTTGGTGCTTGGGGTCTGTGCTGCCTCCGGCTTCGCCAACATGGAATAAAACGGCGTCGGCAGCCGGCCCTTCACCTCGCGAGGATGTTCTTCAAGTGCGCCTTCTAGCTGCCTGAATAGACGCGCAGGTTCGGGCCTGCACGAGGCAGCGACCGCAGGAGCTCTCACTTTCACAGTTTCGAGGAGCATGAGAAGGGACAGGGCGAGACGAGCACCAGCTTCCCCGATTGAGGCCTGCATGTCCGGGCAGTCCAGCGCGGATGCGGGTAGCGTGCGAGAAGCAGCCACCTCTGGCTTCTGCGAACGGTAAGAGCCCTCGACGGTATCCCCCATCTGCAAGGGCTGTAGAGAGCCTGAAAATTGGTTTGATGCCACGGCATACCCCAGCACTGGTTTCCGCAAGCTGCTTAACTTAGCGTGGCCAAACTGCTTAGAGGGCACGCTTGCGTTGCTCCGAGACCTCTGTCACTGTACATTCCCCAAGCGCCACTGCCAGGAATTTGAAGCCTTCATCTGAGTCCAAACATGCGCAGAGGATTCGGATCTGCAGAAAGCTGACTCCGAGCTGTGGCCGGACCTCTCTTTCCAAAATCAGCCTCCTCAACAGTCTAAGGCCCGTAGCTACTGGGGAATGGATCCGGCTGCAAGAGAACCTGCGTGAGCCGCTACTGCCTGTGCGGCTCCAAACGGACCTCTACACCGCACGGAGGCTTGCACGACTGACTGATCCTGTTAGACAAACCCTCCGGCGTAGTTCTCATGCATTTACGCATATAGGAAATTTCAGCACGAGCAGTTGGGCCCGCACCTAGGTTTTCCTTGCTCGCTGATGCAAAAACGCTCAACACATGAGTCGGTAGCAGTGGTCTTTTGAATGTTCCCTGCTCCGGCTTAGGAGTGAGCGCAAGCAGCGTGCTAGTGGAACCGCAAAATCGGAGGTGGGAGTATACCACCCGCGTGGCTTTCATGCTTCGCGCGCAGAGCATCTTTGGGCTGAATGCACTGACTGTCATGGCACCAGCAAAGCTTGCTAGTGCTGCTTCTGCGTTGAGCATGCTGCAGCCTCCAACAGCACTGTGGAGCTTTATGCATGCATGGATGGACGGACCCCGAATTTTGCTGCAGGGCGGCCGCCTAGGAGACACAAGCCCCAGAACTTGTTCACAAAGCTGTGACTTGCCAGATACCTGGACTGCTCGCATTGCTTATCACAGCTGTGGCACCTCCCCAACTTTGCATGCCGTGGCGGGGACAGGTGGAACAGATCAAGACAACAGCTGAAAAGCAGACGGCTGAAGTTCGCTCCTTGTGTTCCCTCCAAATCCCTCTTTGTAGACTTAAAGCGGTGGTCCCGCAGCAGGATGCAGCTTCTGCAAAGTGAAAGACCTCAGAAGCACCGGGTTCCTCTGGCTTACTTGTTCAGCGCCCACTCGGCCTACATTACTGTAAGGAAATCCTCGTCTGGTTGCACCGGGCCTGGGATTTTGACGAAGAAGCCCTGCAAAGCTCGGCATGGCTCTGCCTAAACCCAGACCTTCCCCGGACTAAGCCTTCTAGGACCGGCATCCTAAAGCCTCAAATGAGGGGCACAGCGGGGCAGTCTCTCTGTGCCCCCTGACTAAACCATCTTTCCATCAATATGAAATGGCTCACGCAAGACACCGCCAGGTTTCCACATTCAGGCTGAAAGTGGTTCAACGCTTCAGGTTATCCTGCGGGAACTTTCACGGTGTGACACCTTTCCTCACGCCTCACAGTGTCAGCTGTGGCAGCATCTTCTGCCCGAGTCTAAGAGTGTGAGCGTTGGAAAAATGCGCAGGAGACTTCCGCAGGTGCACACCAAGGCCGGGTTAAGCAAAGCGAGCATCCAAAAGCGCGGCAGCCAGCCTCACGAATCTGCAACCTCAGGGAAAGTAGCACAGAGTTGCAACATTACCACAGAATTCAGCCACCGCAATTCAGGCTCCGACCAAATGCTGTGTACAAGCTGCCGGAGGCGCTGCGCAGTTAACAGCAACGATTCGCCACATGGGCGGGCTTGTGCTGGCGTTGCCAAGCATCGGATGGTAAGACTCACCGTGAATGTTCGCCGCTCCGCTAGTTTCGACCACCTGCACGAGGTCTTTGTCACAAGAACAACTTCGCACACACAAGGCCTGCAGGCAACATCAGTGAAGTAACACTTGTGGATGTAATGCTTGAGTGGAATCGAAGTGCTTCGATATGTTTGGTGTTGAGGAACCAACTATAAGAAGCACTCCTGCGGAAAGAAACACTGCGAGCACAAAGAGCTTGGTTAGTGCGGCACAGCTTCGTCAGCACCATAGCTAATACAGCCTGAGCTAAGCTGCTGGTACACTCGAAGCAAGTGCCACGACGAACTGCCCATCGAAGAGCATTCAGGGGCCTTGCAATCTACCAAACTACAAAGCACAAACAAACAGTTGTTTGTCCCTCGATCCTTTTTCCAGATCTGCCGAACTGTACATGCAGTTTGAAACGTGTGCTTCAGGTCTTGCGGGAGCGGTGAGCAAATCTCATGAGGACTGCCGGCTTGATCTCGAAAGCTGAGCAGGTGTCTGTGCAGCCAGTTTCGGCTGCAGAGCGCAGCATCCTCCCCGAAGGTCTCCATGCTTGCGTAGCTGTCTCGGGCCGTGGGATGGCCGACGAAAGCCATGTGGCTCCTCTGGCTTTCGGCAGAACGGCTCCGGAAGGACTCGTCACCAACCCCAAAACCGAAAAGTAAACACAATGTTGTGCTCCCAGCCGCCTGATTTGATGCTTCCTCCCTGTGACCTCAGGAGGCCGTCGGATTGCGAGTCCTGGAAACTTCTTGACGTACAAACATGAAAACATGCATCTGCTTAAACTGATAGTTTTGCAGTTCATCTTCGGCTGGCTGGTTTTACTCACTCGATGAGAAAGTTCAGGTTCCACACGGAATGTTCTACTGCAGGGTTGCAGCCAATAGTCAATCCGCAGAATGAGGTGGCTGAAAGCACCCACAGGATGCCGCAGGTAGCCTAGGAGGCAATGAAGTTCTGCTTTTGCGGCTAAGCTTCAAAACTGCTGTTTGGGTCTTGGGCTTACATGACACAGCATATTTCCTACTTTCGGGCCGACGTCTGGCCAAATTCTCCAGAATCGAACAGCTCTGAACTGAGACGCGCAGGGCATTGGGCCATCACTCGCCGATGCCACAAGAGGTAAACGCTGTCATACCGTGCCGAACATATCTAGGCATGTCTGCAGAGAAGGCATGATATGAGTGGGACTACTACTATCGCTGGCACTCATGATGTCTTTGCGAGATCAGTTCGGATTACCAAGCGGCCAAGTAGTTTCAGGCGAGTTTGGCTCCACTTCCCACGGCCGCCCGAGATCGTTGGTCCTGTCGTGCCGAATTGCACCTGCGACGCGAAAATGCCAAGACCAGAAATCCCAAATTCTCTGCGTGCTCCTTCACTTTTACGATGGGGGGCTAGGGGCCGCTACGCGTCGAATTTCTTGTGCCAGGCTCCACACAACATGTCCTTCTACCTTTCGCATTGAGGGTTAGGTTTGCAAGTAAGCCACCCCGCATCAAAGTTTCGGATCAACCACCACTCTTTCAGGTGGTCTAAGGCTAAGGTTTCCATCCGACACCCACCGAGCCGTTAGGGGCCGGCGGCCGGATCTGTTTTGGACCCTAAGCTCTAAAAAGAGCTTTCTCGACCACCCACCATCGCCTTTTAATTAGGGTTTAACATCTTCCACCCAACATCTCGCTGTGGTGTTCTGAGCTCGTGAAATTTCTGGTCTCCGTTTCGGGATTGGGGCCACGAAGGGGATATCGTTTTTCCCGGGGTCCCAAATCCCAGATTCCGTTTTCTGGGTTTCGGCTCGGGTCCAGCATCAACTTTTAAGATTGAGCCTGCCCTTTTTGTATTCGGGGCTATGGGGTTGTGGTCTCCGCTTAATTTTAGGGTTCGGGCACACGCATCAAGTTTCGGGCCAAGGTTTCACCACGATCACCTTCTAGGGTTCAAGGCCATCCACCCCAACATACCCTTTAGTGCTTGGGCTAGGGCGCCCGGGTCTCTAATTTGAGCTGATGTTTCACCAAGCATCACCTTTTCAGGTTACATAGGGATTCGGGCCCAGCATCACCTTTTGAGGGTGGAATGTCTTCATTAAACATATCCTTTCAATGATCAGGGCTGCGGAGTCTAAGCATCAAATTTTGGGGCGAAGGTTTCCAAGCACACAACAACACCTCCTTTTCTGACACTCACTCTCAGACATCACCAGGCAAGGTCTGCAAAGATACTGGTCCTTCATTCTTCGTTAACAAAGCCGACCAGGCAGATTCACCTGGAAGGCACTCCTCTTATGGTTTAAAGTCTTCCACCCAAGATTTCCTCTCTTGGCGTGGGGCAAGGGGTTCCACCAAGGCATCAAGTTTTTGGGCTGCGGGGCTCAGCTTATTCGGGTTTAAAGATGCGGCCCCCTGTCACTGTAGGGTTTTAGGCCTTACGCCTAACATCTCCTTTTCGTGCTAGGGGATTCTGGTCTCCGCTTGCACTTAGGGTTTTGCCGTGCTGCCCCCAAGGGTCAAATTTCAGAGCAACCGTTCTGTTAGTGTTCTGGCTAAGGGTTCTGGTCCGAATTTCAGGTTTATGGCCAAGCATCAAATTTCTGATCCACCATCACCCTTGGGGCTTAAGCCGAAACTTACCTTTAGTGTGCGGCAGGTTCTGGTGCAGATCCGCTTCGGGTCAAGCTTCACGGACATTTCCAGGCAGGGCTAGAGACGAATTGCACGAAACTAGCGACTCAGGAGACAGAGACTACACTACACTTTTGGGGTTTAGGATGGTTTAGGTCGCGGAAGGTAGTTAAAGTGCACGCGTCATGTCAGGCGGTGTGTCCGAAGTGATGGGCATGCTCACTGGCAGGGGGTGGGCGTAGTGACCAGGTAAAGTCTCTCACATAGCGTCTTCTGCTCAACGTGTCGTTTAGTGCTCGTGGCTTCAAGGCTCTGGTCTCTGTTTTTCACCAAGCTTCAACTTTCTGGTTCGGGTTTCCGACCCAGCATCATCTTTTCAAGGTCTGGGGTCTTCGGTCACACATTGTCCGTGAGTACTCGGGGCGAGGGTGTCTGGTCTCCGTTTAGCCACCAAGCATGAACACGTTTTGCGGGATGAGGTTTCCGACCTTCAAGCGGGAGAATGTTTTCCACAAAACCCAGATTGCAGCACATCTTGTTTGGAGGTCTGGGGCTTCCGCTCAGCCAGCAGACCTGGGGCTGCAGAAATCTGCAGAAACCGGCAACTCTTCAGTGTTCGTGCTCCCGGCCTTCGCAGTGATTTGTGTCAAGGATGGGGCCAGCCAGCCATGGGCCAGGCAGGTGTACTCACGAATGCATCTTCCCAAATGCAACTGGAGCTGCAGGTCGTAGAAGGCGGCGTACGTCTTGGCGAAGGCGATCAATCCTCGCGCTAAGCACACAGCGATGTCGGACATTCATATGCTGAAACCATGCTTCGATGAAGTGAAATTGCGACGATGAGACGCATGAAACTAATGTCAGGGATGGTCGCTGTTGTCCTTGCTGTGTAAGGCTTCCCTCCTGAATCTGCCAACCCGCCACAACTGTTAATCAATTGACCCCAGATCGGCAGACACATGCAAACGAACATGCGACAAAAGGACACCCGCGTCGGTAGAACGACATGGGCCTGACAATCACCTATCCAACAACAAAGCATAACCCAGCCACCCACACACGCACGAAGAGGTAATAGCATGACTGAAGCTGACTGAAGTGACGGGAGTTGGCTTGTGAGTGCACAGGTGCGAAGAGATGTGCTTTCAAACGTATCCCCACATTTCGCACATGCCAGGTCCATCTTGCTGTCAGGTGCGCTACAAGCCCGCCATGCCGGCAGAATCTTGCAGGAGTTTCTCAAAACGTCCTAGCTGCAGAGTCGTCTCATCCATCGAGAAAAACAAGACGCCGTCAACTAAGCGATGCAGCCATTCCTGAACTCGGCACATCCAAACGGTGCAAGAAGCCGAAGTTGTGACCTCGGCATATACTTGCACAGCACGTCACCCTTCGCGCCAATCCCTACTTCTGGACAGTAGTCGCCTATCGTTAAAGCCACAATCCACGTTTCCGTCCCCTTTCATGTGCCAGCAAAGCTGTCTGGTATTCAGCAACTTCCACGGTCAAGAACCCCCCGTCGCACCTGTCTTTGCCTGCTACCTCCGCAGAAACCGGGTGGCTACATATCGATCACACCCAGCCCGCTAAATTTCCTGAAATCGTTGTTGAAGCATCTCACAGATCTGTCCCGCGGCCAGGATCGCTGAGGATGCGCAGACTGCCTTCGCAGGCATCATTGACAGCTGACCCTGTTCCAAAGCCTTTGAGGCAACGTGAAGCTCCATGATAATGGCAACAGGAGCTGCTAATTGCAGCCTCGTTGAAGCTGAATCCCCCCAGGAGTCACGGATGGTGCTTGTGCACTTCAGCTGCCATACTTATGAGTCTCAATCTGTGCGTAAGAAGTAACGCGGCGACGGTTTCGACCGGCGTTCCGCGATTCCTGTGCAAAACAAGACGATAGCCGATGATTATGACCTCGAACCCATGCAGCTCTTCCCACTTGATCGGGCAAATCGGTGTACTTTTGGCTTCTGGGGCTGCGACTTGTTCGCAACCGAATCCACATTCCGCTGCGCTGCCCTCTTACTTCGCATCACGCAGCTACACGCATGCACACACTCGCAGTCGCTCTCTGCTTCTGTTACCAAGTTGCCGAAGTGGCTGGCAGCGAAGGACGACCTCAAGGCTTCATGCTGAAACTCTCGAAAACTTCTGCTGCACGACCTCTGCTGAAACTGGTCCGAGGTTTGCCTGTGCTATACATTGAGCCTCAACCTTCGGGTTGGACGCTCTAAATGCTACTCCGCCCGCCGCCAGCGCCATTTCTCCTTTGCATGGATTGGCTTTCAGAGCCTGCGCGCTCTTGCTGAGAACGTTTTTGCATCCTCTTGCTTCTTGTACAGCAGCGGCTTCCGGCATGTCCTGCTTTCCGATTTTCAGCTGCTTGCACAAGCTGTGGGTCGATCGTCTCGGCTCCACTGTCTCCAAAATTGTGAATAGCTGAGGACCGTCTGCGCTCTTAGAAGGACCCACACACTTCTGAGACCGGGCAGAAAGCTGTTCACACAGAAACGGTCAAGCCCGTCTGTCCCTTTGACCACGATTATTCATTTCACGGTTCAATCTGGGACAATGTTTGGTCTTTGCTTAAAGTGGTTTCGCTGCACCACTCTTTCAGAGGGGCGATCTCCGCTTTATCACTCCATCAATCTTTTCCGAATCGCGGACCGCTCAGGGCCCGGCGGCTCTTTCGGCCCGCGCATGGCAGTCTCTCTTTTTTCACATCTCGGCGTGACGAAGGCTTCCTCCGTTGTGGTCCGGCCGTTTCGAATTTGGGGCTTGCATGGGCTTGCTAGCAATTGAAGACTCCGGTCGGTCGCCGCCAGCGACAGTTGCAGTAGCAAGGGGAGGCGAAGCAAAGGAGCAGCAGGTGCAAGCAGTCAACAGTACTGGATAGGTCGTCCACGGACCAATAAGCCGTGAAATTGAATGCCATCACTCCTGTGACTGTCAGGTTGGCTTTCGGATGCCGAAGCAGACTCTTCTCGGATTTAGCTCTTGACAGCTGTGGTTTAGCTCGCGTGAATTCTCTTGCTAGCCGTCACTGATCAATCTTTGCCGCTTGTGGGCTTCACGACCTTGTTCCAATATACTCGTAGGCTTTGCTTTCGCTCTGTCTTTGTCGCTCTGTTAACGGGCTTGTGCAGCAGAGCCCAACCGCTTTCTCTGTGTTTTGGTCGCCTGTTGTCCGGTTCAGGCATCAGATTTTCCACACATCGCTTGTTTGACTACACTGACTACACATGCACAGTAACGGTTAAACATGCGCACCGCAAAGCCGCGCAACCACAAACCCATCTGACTGTCTCTTTCTTGCTCTCTCTCCCTCCCTCCCTCCCTCCCTCCCTCCCTCCCTCCGCGGCATGATATTCTTCTTGTATGTATATATATATATATATAAATACATATAGACATACATACGTACATACATATACGTACACACACACACACATCTACATCTCGACTGATCGCATACCAGCATAATGCTCATCCGCATGTGTGGATGTGAGCCAATGCAGTTTAGCAGCATCTGGCGATTCGTATGGGCACCATAGACTTCCCATCCAGGGGGCTTGAAGAAAACGGCTCGGTCCGGGCGGTCCCACACCACCGTCGCCGACATGTCGTCCTCGATGCTCGCACTTTGAGATATTGCCATGCAAATCCGAGTAGCTGAGAAATTCCTCCACTGGTAGAGAAGTGCAAGAAGGTGTTGCTATCTCGCTTCTGGTTTTCATGAAATTAGACGGCTGTAGTAATACGACGATAACCTGACGACAACTTCACAATGCTGATCGTGACCGACCACAATGCCGTCAGCAACTCATTAATGCAAATTGCAACAGGCAAGCCAGGAAGTGAGTAGTCTGTCACGAAGCAAGACATGCACTGGCTGTCCCATCTTGGCTCGCGGGTATCCAGCGAATTCACAACCGTGAAGATACGGAATGCACATGGCCCCAGGCAAGATTTTGTCTCTTGGGTCAAGGAACTCGAGTGCCCGGACTACAGACAAGAGCTGCAAGGCTTCCGTCATGAAGGCCGCGGCCATTTCCGTTGATAAGATATGAAACAGCAGTGCAAGCCTAACCAGGCTTGACTTGGATTGCTATACCCAGCCCTTGTTCTACAGTGCACCTTTGAGAAGACACATCCTCACCTTCCGGTGGTGCATCCATAGCCTAATGCAGACCCAAGTTCATGTTCAGAAGGCGCATGGAGCAGGCTTGTCCGCATCTTGATGTTGCTTCCTCAGTGTGGCGGCAAAACTGGCTGGCGAGGCTCGGCATTTTTGCTTCTTTTCGGGCTGCCAACCCTAGTTTCAACACATGTTGAGCTGGGGCTCAAGCCTACGGCAGAGTTTGCGGAAGCGGCTAGCTACGAATACGATCTCTACACAAACGGCTTGATGAACGATTCAGTTTGCTACGCTGCATCAAGTCTATCTCTCGACAGGAACCTGCACTCTGTGTCATTTCCGGGCTTCTGCCGTTTCCGGGCTTAGCTCGTGCCGGCGGAGCTTCTTTGGTCCAAGTCCCGGCCGGTTTGCAGCAGCGCTTTCTGCAGCAAAGCTCGGAAGGTTTGGGGCAAGCGCCCAGCCATGGCGAAGGAGCCTGCGATGCCTCGGCAGGGTCAATGGATCCCCTTTTCGGGCCGAAGCCAAGCCCTGCTGAAAGCTTGACTCATACCTGAAACTCTGACTTTTCTCCCGCTTTTTTCGAAGGGGTCAGAGAACGCAATCAGCGAAAGCGCACGGCGTTGTGCAGCCGCTGCCAAGTTACCCATCACAGATATGCCCAGACGGTGGAAGATCAACCCACTTGGTGAAGTCCGCCTCTTCTAGTCCAGGAGTATGGCTCAGGTGACATCAAGCGGCTTTTTAGTTTTCTTGTATTTCGGCTGTAGCGCCGTGGAGAAGTTGTAGGTGTCAAAAGGCAGCGAGCCACAAGGACAGGAGATGAGGGCATACGTACTAGCTCGCTGGACCTCTTTTCTTGACATGTGGCACGCTTCTACACGCTACAGTAAATGAAAATACATGAAAGCTTTGAGGCTACAAGCCTTTTGCCCAGCATTTGGAGCCAGCCCGTTGTGAAGCACACTGCGGCAAACATTCCAGAACGCGCCACTCCGAAAGCAACGCGTGCACCCCAGCCTGGAGATCCTGATCCAAAGCCCTCAACATCCCTCAACAATCAAGCAGCTGCTCACGCCTCAACTGCCTGAGCTGGCTCTCCACCCTCCTCTGAATCGCTGCAGCTGTTGAAAGATCCGCGTCGCCCGAGACCAGAGCCCACACCTAGCGATTCATTCAGACTCCATCTTCTTTATAGGGCAGCGCAGTAGCCGCAAGTGGGTCGGGTGAACTTACCGATAATGTCTCGACTGTCTCAACCAAAGTACGCAACGCGACCATGTGGTCAGGTAAAGCACGAGACGTGCTTGGGGATTTAGGGTTCTTAGGGTTCCAAAAATGAACCGAGCCGGGACGCGACCATTGCAATCTCCTCCAACTCAGCGCTGTTCATTTCTTGCAAGAGCCTTCGACTGATCGACCTGCGGCGCCGTCGGATTGCCAGGTTCTGTGATGTTCTGCTTGCCTGGTTCCCTGGCTTCGTTTCTGGCATCTAAAGCGCTCTTGTTCAAAAGGGCACGTGATGTTGCGTACGTAAGCCTGTGCTGATGCCGGGAATGTCCATTACTGTACAGCTTTCCTTGAATCTCGGCATCTGACACGATGCGCTCTGAACCATGGGAGCTCGGGATGGCGAGACCAAGGGAGATTGGGGTCGACGAATCGACGAACGATGCCCGAATTATGACAAGGTGGGCCCGTGGGTCCGTGATGCAGCACCTACGCAACTAGTTGAGGTCACACAGCATGATGGCCACGACGACTGCTGCTCTTAATCTTTAGGTGGAACCTTGACCAGGATTCCATGAGTACGTGCTGATTCTCACCTACCTGCTGCTTCTTCCGAGGGCCTGCAAACTTGATGGCTCGATGCACCCAAGGTCTCCATGGACCAGAGGACCCTGGACAAGGCTTCGAAGGAACCAGGATCCTGCATGGAGGGCTCTCGCTACTTGGCTGACTGAGGGGCTTCATAGATGGGCTTTAATCTTAGCCTCCAACATACATCTTCGTCCCACATTGTAAACGGTAGCCCATGCAGGCAACTGCCATGCGGGAGTCCTCACCAGCAAACAAAATCGTTGCCACCTCCGCGCAGGCTTCATGAATGACCTGGTCAGTCTGGAGTCAAATGATGTAGAATACAAGTATGTAGTATATAGTATAATATAACATAATATATTAATATGTACTATACTATACTATACTATACTATACTAAAAATCAAACTGACATACAAGAAATATAATACAAGAAGACTGCACTTAGGAGACTTTCTCCAGGCCTCGGCTTCGGAGACGCCCGCGGCTGCCAAGGCCCAGAGGAAGGAGTCGGGGCCTCGAAGGCCCTCGGAGTCCCAGAGGAGGTCCACGAGGGCCTGAGCTAGAACATAAATCGGGGTTCAGACTCTCGCAACCCATGTAGGCAGGGTTTCGGCGCTCACACTCGGACACTCCAGGCGAGGCATTTTTGGTAGGGTTTAGGGTTCAGGTGCTCCAGACGAGGTCTCTTGGTTCACTGGCACACTACCACAGCTACTCCAGAAGACGCAATTCAGCTCGGCACCTGTTCCATCACGGGAACACGGGTGCTCAAGTCTTTGCAGACATGGAAGAAATCTGTAAGCGTACGCAAAGGGGACACTGGATTTCGGCGCCTAACTAAGTAGAACAGCTGGAGTTTTTGCCTGTGCTAAAGTCTAATAGTTATACAGGGACTGCAAGGTGACTGCTAAGACCTCTTTTCAATGTGGTTTCGTCGAACATCAGATTGTATAAGTGCTGACTCGCGAGTACGTTCCGCATGCAACCCAGCGGCTGTGTACTTTAAACCCTAAACCCTGAACCCAGGGGAACCTCAAATCCGGCGCACCCAAGACAGTTGAACCCCAATCTCTGCAGGCTACGGTCTTTGCCCCTCTTTGAACCCGGACGCGGATGCTCTACATGAGCATTCCGAAGCATCGCACGCAGCGGTTGCGAACAAATCGCTCGTTTCGGCAGGACATGTCGCGGCTCTCTGTGGCAAAATGATTTGCAAACCAAGGCACATGCCGATGACCTGCAGGGACAAAGGGCCGTGGAGAATGCCCCGCAGTAGTTAGCAAACTTCAACACAACGGATCAGGAATACGAATCCCTTGAATGCGTTGCAACACTGTATAACACATTCCAGCAGTTTTCCACATATCTATGCCTATATACATATATATATATATATATATGTGTGTGTGTGTGTGTGTACGTGTGTCTACATGCACACACACACACACACCTCTCTCCATATAAATATGAATATATATATATATATAGATACACACGTACCTCTACACATACACTTACACGTACATTGATTCGTTGGAAGTGGCGCCTCCTCCTCTGCATGCATTGATCACAGCGTTGTAAGTTATTACCTCAGTGGACAGAGAAGGGAGCTTTTTGGAAAGGCGGCCAAACACGTGGACCTTGCCAAGCAGTGGAGTACTCCAGCTAGTAGTATGTGTTCAAAAATTTGAGGGTTTCCATGCCCGGCTTTCAGGGGTCCGGGCAAACTTAGATGTTGCACGCTGCTTCAGCAAACGCAGTAAAGGAGTGCTGTTTGGAACGGCTTCATGATACCTGTTGTTGTTGCACCAGGGCCCAGGAGGGATTCCCGTGCCAAATGCATCTCGAAAAGTCTGACAGACCGAAAAGCGTTCGGACAACAGGCATCACGGCCTCACCAGCCAAGCAGCGCTGGGCTCGACCGACTTCACCCGCAACTCCCCCAGCAGCCACAGTGCCTTTCGCAGGAGTGTGCAAGCCATGTGTCCATTTGGCGAAGCAAAGTACATTCCAATCGCAAAATACACTGCTCAAGACATTCCCCTGTCACTCCTTGCTGAGACTTCGGACTTGTGCCACACTTTTGATGCGGAAAAGCCCGGCAAGCTGTGCCCAGATTCGGCACTAGAAAAATCCTTGCCGCTTGGCTGCACAACTTCTGCACAAGCAGTGCAAGTTGTCACTGCGAGGCCTGAAGTTGCTGGAGCCAAGCAGCGAAGCAGATAATACTAGTATATACTAGTAGGAGCTGGAAAGTTTCCGGCGTTTCCGGTCAGTCTTCAGCAAAGCGGAGAATGAACTCAGGGTAGGCCTGCTCTGGTGCAAAGGTCACAATCTCCATGTGGCTTTGCTCTTGAAATCCGCGTTGAATGCCGGGCCGTGCAATGAGTGAGTCGCAAATGATGTCCCGAGCATCCTCCTGGTCGGAGTCGTCCGAATCTGAAGGGTTGAAAGATTTCGTGGGTGGGCCTCATTCGAACAGCATCATTCACAACAACACAAAACGAGTGGACAACAGACTGTTTACAAGCAATACCATCCTGCCCGGCAGCGAGATCCGCCATATGCACCGGCAGTATAGAAGGGATCGCCGAGTGCAACCCGAGCCACGATGATGGTCCCCGGGCGCTGGCTAGAGGCCTTTTCAGTCATTGCCCTTTTTGCAGCATACTGAGCGCTTTTGCATGTCTGCGCGGCGAAATACGTCCCATTTCCGTAAAGTCCTCTTTGTGCAACTCGGTTGTCGAAACCTTCGGTGGCTATAGCCTTGGCGTAGCCGAAGTGCTTCGTGCCATGGAATAACAACCGCTCGTTGTGGTCAACATCAACGTCAAGCCGCTTCGCGAGCTTGGTCAATGCATCTCCAACAGGCGGTTGTATTCCTTCCGGTGTGATCCCAAACTGCTGCTGCTTGTCGCGAATGGTTCTGCCGAACCGCTGGAATCGACGCCACAGGTACGGGTTGCGCACTTGGTAGGCTTCCAGCAATCTGTAGGCAGACTCTCCGTGAGGGCACTGGCAGACTGTGCCGTCGTGACGCCTTAAAGACTTGTTTAAGAGTCCCTCGAGTTCCTCCAAGGTCTCGGCCTCTGAAATTTTGATGACATGTCGTTTGAAAGGCACTTGCATGGCCATGAATGCCCCCTCACTGATGGTAGTTAGTCGAGTGCGCACGGAGATGCCTCCCGAGATTACCGAGTCTTGATCAGATAAAGGCTCACCTCGTATCAGCTTCAGCCCCTCGTCATTGCTCATCTGCCAGTGCCTGGGCAAGCCCAGATTGCAACGAATGCGGCGGCGCTTCATTGTGGACAGGTTCAGCTGCATCTGCAATCTGAAATCGACCTCGTAGCTTCGACCCTCGCAGGACACCGTCACGTTGCTGGTGCCTTTGATATAGGCATCCATTAGATGTGCACTGACTGCTCCAGAATATGGGGTCCATCCCTGAGCATCATTCTCGAATTGCCATACGGCTTCGTCGGATGGCACCTGCAAGCCCCACGGCAATTTCTGAACTCGCGTGCGGACCTACGAGACGCTTGCGCAGCTCTGTCCAGACTGCATTGCCGCCGCAAGAAATCGGGCAGCCCTGCCTGCGATTGCGAGCCCAGCTGCCGAGCCAGGGCCGTCTTTTCGGCGGATTCCTTCTCGATGCGCTCTTCCAAGTGCAAGGCCTCTGTCGCACCGAAAAGAAGAGGAAATCCTAGGGTGACACGCCTTGGAACTTCCAAAAAAGCTTGGTGCCAGCGAGTGGCCTCTTGACGGAGTCGCAGAGCTTCTCCTTCTCGACGTTCAAGCTCCTGGAGAGGGAGGGGCTTGAAGACGACGACAGCCTAAACCATGCTACATGAAGGAAGTCTTGTCCCCACAGCTCCTCGCGCAAACGCTGGGTGTCCAGCAAATTATTCTGCAAGCGTCTTCGGACCGATTCCTGCCAGGTTTGCAACACCGGTTTAGCCTATCAGGGCTTGCTGCTAAAGTGTTCCGGTAGCCTGTTCTGCCATTATAGGTAAAGGTAAGGCTAGAACGTCGCTTGCTTTTGGCGAAATTCCACGTCCTGCTCCTGGCGGAGGTCGGCCAACTCTGCCAGCTTTGGCTGGACCAGCTCGACCATGAGGCGCTCCTCACTGGTTGAAGGCAGAGGAGAACGTAGAACACAGTCACTCCTAGTCGCTAGGGCCGTAGCTCGACATCCAAGTGACAGGAGCTCCTTCGTTTCAGCCTCGACCTCGCTGACAATGACTTCTCGTTTTAATCGATCCTTGCGCTCTGCCTGTCTTTCGCTGTTGCTCGTGGACTTGATAAGGCTGGCATTTGAAGCACGTAGCTTTTCGAGCTTCTTGCGCAAATTCTTGACCTCTGCCTCCGCCTCCTGTCGAGCCCTGCGCTCGGCCTGGAGCTGCTCCAACTGACTGGGGCTCTCCGCCGGCTCTCCCCTGTCTTTCAGCTTCTCTGTTCTGGCTGGTGGGCTGGCAGTTGAAGCGCTGGCGAGAGGCAGAGTGTGCTCTCGCACAACTTGGTGCCCTGTCACGCGAGCCTTGTCCAAAACACCTTCCTCAAACATGCCAGCCCCTGGTGAACCCTTGACATGGAACCACAAGGCCATGCAGAGGCGTTCGCGACGAACTCCGATAGTCACCACCGGCTTGCGGATGCCTGGTACTTCAAGAACCTGTCCATGCTTGAAGCCGCCCACCGACATGCAAACCTCATCGCGGATGTCGAACGGCACAATTTCGGCTGACGACACTGTGACCCCTGCAGTGTATAAGAAATCCAGTTTCAGCCACTCTGATGAAATTGTGGGGGCCTCCTTTGACGGGCCAGGCCGGACGGTGGTGCGACCAATTTTCTTAAGGGTTTGTTTCTCCCAAATTCCAGCGCCATCAGAACCTTCCATATGGAACCATAGCATGTCATCGTAGATGCCAATGGCGGTGGAGACCCGCCCGCTCTCTGTGATAACCACGTCTCCATGCGAGTACCCATGAGGCCTACAAGCTTCATCCCGTATGTCAAACGACACGATGCCTTGGCCTCGAGTAGGATAAGCGAAACCCTCCTGTTGCTGCCTGGCTGAGGAGGACCTGCCCAAACTCTGCAGCTGGGCTGCCGGACGTGTGGGTTCGGAAACCGCCGCCGCATCGTCTGAGTCGGATGAATCCACAGCAATCTTTTCAAACTTGCTGTAATCCACCATGGATCCGATGGCACCAGCCGGGCAGCTACTCTACTCTACTCTGGCTAATGGCTGGGAAGCCGACAAGCCTCGCTGTCCAGTGCAAATCTACGGGATGAGTGCATGCACAGTGCTTCTTCCTTGCCAACCTGCATCAGGCTTTAGACTGTGTGGCCACTGAAGTTTAAGATGACAGCAAAAGAGGAAGCGGTGGCCTCCTCCCAGTGCTCGCACTTCTCGCATGCGCTGATGGCTGCGTTGAATGAAATCCTGAAATCCACTTGCAAATGAATAAACGGGCTAGTCAAGCTTCCAAAGTTGAGTAAGAGCTTGTTTGTTAAGGAGCCCTACCTATTAGTTCAGGGTCCTTCCACGCAATCGCTGGAGTATAGGGGGGTTAATGTTCCGGGCACATGCTGATTCCCTGAGTTTTACGGCTCTTCTCAGATTTGATAGCATGACCAGCTCGGGTGGCTGGCCCCTCCATTATCTGGCCTGGGGTGTAATCTGCTCACTAGACGAAATGATAAAGTTTCGAATGGCTGGGTGGTGCGCGTGAGTAGGACCGACAAAAGCCATTTACACTGGCTCGGGGTTTGTCAGTCAGAGCATATCAATGCTTGCAAGAAATGTGTGTCTTGCGAACGACCCACTTGACTCCTAGACTTCTCGTGGGCACTTCTCGAGGGCTGTACAGTTTCAGGCTCAGGGCCTGCAGTCGCGATTTTTTCTGAGGCTGTAGTCTGCATTTAGGCTGGCCAGTGAAGCCGACCTTTCCCGGCCGAGAATAGACAAGATTTATAGCGCCTCGACACGATTCTACACCTGGAGGCCCAAACCCTGACCCAAAAACACTGAAACTTGACCCTACATCTTCAACTCTAGGCTTGTTTGTTGTTCTGACAAAATACCTACTCAATACTTTGGTTAGCGACTCTTCAATTCTGCAGAATGTTTATGACTTCCGGCCAAGTTTAAAGACGCAGGTTTCAGGTTCATTAGTTTTGCACTGAAACTCCGTAGCATTCTGGCAAGAACCGATGGGATTCTTGAGTGCCAGGTCTTTGTCTTTTGTTGGCTTTCCTGGCCTTCGTCATCAGGTTTTACTACATGCCTTGTCCTGAAGCCTGTAGCGAACCCATAGAAACGCTGAGAAGGCCATATTCCTGGGAGGAGAGAGGCGAACGGGGAGATGGACCTCAGACGCACCATTTGGCTCTGTACTGAATTTCATTGTATTGCAAGAATGAAGTTCTCACACTCTCTCTCCCTGCCTCCCTCGCCTTGCGCTCAGATCCGGAACTTCTGGAGTCTTCTTGCTCTTGGTTTAGCAATACTTTTGCTGAAGCTGGGGAAGCCAGGAGTCACATCTGCTTGAAGCCCTGGCGACACTTCGAGGATGCGAAGCACTGCCAGGGATTGCTCCCACTTGGCAGCCTCTCGAAGGCCGAACTCTAGTCTTCACACTACAGCGTCTGCACGGAAAGAGGCATGCACAATACTTGCTACCAGTACCCATACAAACTTCCACCAATGCAAGGCCCTAGCAATAGGCCTTCTCACAAGCGCTGATGCAAGCGTTGTAGGCGATGAGCTCCACCTCTCATTGCACCACTTTCAGGAGGTGCAAACAGTTGCGATTCGCTCAGCAAGTCGTCGGATACCGGGTCCTGTTTACTGAGCATAGTGCGCGATCCAACTTTGCGAAACAAGTGAGTATGCTGATGCTTGAAGACTTCAAATCGCCTACTGCCCCGCCCCACCTCGGTGTGCTGCGTTCGAGCTTCAGCCAGCAAGGCCAGAGCCCTGCGCCACGCACCTCGGCTCTTCAGAGATACAAGGTGCAACCTGTGTTGTGCATGCATAAAGAGTCGATCTGCCAGCCGCACGTCAAAAGCTCCTCTCGCTCGGTCTGTTGCACTAATAGCACCAAGCCAAAGCCGACAGTGCAAACGTCCGAGTAGATCATGCAAGCCTGCGAAGCAAGCCCTTCACAAGACTGGGACTTGAATGTCGGCCAGCGAGTCCTGCCACGCTCAAGCTCAGAGCCGCTGGTCAAGATTCCAATCGTTAGCTCCTTTTGATATGCGGCGATCTAAGTCGCATGCGTCAGATGGCCACTGTGTACTTCCTTCTTTTCCGGAGATAAACGGTTAACATTTGAGAGCCAACACCCAATTGGTGGCATTAGGCCGGTTCATCGGGTCGATATTCCTTTCTGCAAGATGCATCGCCTCCCACCAGAAGGACACGCTGCCCGCGCGGAGCCTTCTGACTGGCCTCAGCCTCATAATGTGTGAACCGGGCATACTCCCCCGAAATGCGGTCTCCACTCGAACAACACCACCTGCGTGAGCCCCCCGCACCATGTACTGGCCATTCAGAAACGATTGGACCCGCCATACGTTTAAAGGTCAGACCCAGAGGAAACGCACACGTACTCAAAGAAGAAACACTCCCAAACCACAATCCACCACAGCCTTGACTCTGGCTACACCAAGTTTGGTGGTGGGGCCCAGGACTCACCACCTTCTTGCCTGTTGCCAGCCAGCAAGCTGGCAGACAAGTCTGTCGTGCTGGGCACCCTCGCCAATCTCCTGTCCAGAACAACCGCCCCGGAATAGAGGAATAACACGAGTGTATACCCCGGGACCATCCAATCGATCGGCTTGCCGTTGAAGACCGCAGAGAGCTTCATGACACTCCCGATCCACGTCCCCACTGAGACGGCACCGGCGGCAACCGCGAATGACCGAATCCCCATCTCTTCCAATCTTTGTTCTTTTCTTGTCAGTTTCTTACCGCATAGGGTCCTTGAAGCTTGATGCCCGGATGGTTGGTCAAATTATGTGGAGCTCACCGTACATAGTGTGCTGATGATCTTTCCTGGCTGTCCTACCCGCTGCGGTATAGCCCTCGCATTGCTTCTGCACTTGATGATCGCAAGCTGTCCCCCTCTGTACAACCTCGGACATTGGGCAAATACTTGCTGCGCGCATGGTTGCTAACACGAACACCACCATCGTTGCAGGTTCCGGCTCTACAGCCATGTACTCGCAGGACACGTAGACTTTCAGATAGTCTAAGCCCAGATGGGTCCATGTCACTTTTGAGCAAATCATGCCTGAGCCTGCAATGCCCCTGCAATTCGCCGGTACGTGTAGCAGGCGATATGCAAGAACATGCCGACACTCGACTCTTCTAAAAGACTAAAACTGTTGCCAAGTCGCTGCCCTTGGCGCATGCTCGTATGAGCGAGTTGCAGGTGACCGCGCTCCACTTTGCGTCTCGCCGGCCAAGGACCGAAAACCTTGGTGGAATTCGATGACTCAACACAAAACACCACAGTCTCAGCTTAGGATGGCATGCTGCAGCAAGTCCCTGCCGATGTAACTTGCCAGAACAAGCTAGCCGCACACGTGCTGAAGATCTTGCAAGGAATTCACAAAAGCAGGCTGGGAACAACCAGAGTGCCCATTGCCAAGCTCCGCTTCTGGCACAAGCGCTTATCCTCAAATGCTGTCATGATCAAGCGCCTTCAATGAAGGATCAACGCAACGGAGGGTAAAGGAGGGCATGTCTTCTGAACGACAGAGCACGGGTCAGCTTGCTCCAAACATCACTTCGAAGCATGAAGCAGGAAGCTTACAGGGTCTGTTAATGAAGGCCCACTGCCAGGGAGATCCCGAAAAACTTGCTTGCAGCTGCTGCATCCCCGTGCTGTACGCCAGTACGTCAGGCTCCAGGTCCGTCGAGAGCTCTGCCTTAGAGCGGAACAACTCTACCTCCGCAGTCTTCCAGATGCCTCCAAGGCTGCGCAGACTTGAAACCCTGCTGGCAGTGAAGGCGATGTGATCCCATCTGCCAAGTCTGCAAGAAAACGCGTGTGAAAGCAGAAGTCTTTACAATCCTGGCCTGAAGCAGCCCGAAGGGAGCGTCATGTTTCGTGAGTCGATGCTGCTTAAAACTTAACACTAGGTTCTAGATACGTGCAAGTCCCACACCGACATCACCGACAAGACAGGGTTCAAACATAGCACAGATGTAGCCATGCGGCGATCAGCTGAAGAGCCGATTCCCACAAACCGTGGCCTTCACACGCACTGAGTGCTGCGTTGTACGCAAATACCTGGGACTCATACCACTCGGTGTTTGCGTGCGACGGTCAAAGTGACTTTTTCGCACTCGCGCTCGGGAGAATTAGGGACGCTTTCTCGGCTGGCCCTACGGCACCAGACGAGGAGTCATGCTCTCTCGGCCGAGCCAAGAGTCGCTCGGTGCTGCCTGCTTCTTGATTTCTCCCAGCAAGATCAGCGACGTCTTCCACTGCAAACCCCGTGCACCTTGAAGATTCAGAGCACTTGTAACATCGCTGCAGTGGTAGCTTGCATGGAAACCACCTACGTTTCGACACGTCCGTGTCGACGTGCTAGGAGTATCCATGGAAAGATCTGTGTGCATCCAGGCGGCTGGCAGTGAGAGCAGTGGTGAACGAGACTGCATTGGTCAGCTCCCGGAGTTCCATTTCAGGCAACAGGAGGAGAGCTCGCTGCCATTCCGTGCTGGTCCTGTAGCTGTGGACGTGAAAAATCCTGCTCTTATGCCTGTTGAGGGTTCCTGTCATCGTCCCTTCTCTTTTGCCTCCGGTGCTCAAGCTGTGACATCCACAGACGTTTCTTGGCACTGTTGCACATTGGAAAGTTGAGCGTTATGCCGCTATGCCGGAGCCTGCAATGGTTCAGGAACCTCTCCAGGCATGGCTGGCATTTCGACAGTACAAATCGAGCACTGCGCATGCGCACGCCTGACCTGTCCGGGAACCACAAGTCCGGTCTTTGCAGGTGTTTCAACACACGCCGCACTTGTCGGAGCTCCCTTGACCAACGCTGCCCAAGTCTCGCGCAGACTTTCAAGAGAGAGTTGAAGGTCACCGTGGTCGGCTGCAAGGAAGCCTGGCTCAGCTCGCCGAAGGGACGGAGCGATTCTTGCCAGCCGCTGCCCTCGAGCACCGAAATCAGCGCATTTCGGGTGACGACGTCGGCTTGAAGACTCCTGCATTGGGCGTCAGAGAAGCGGCCGTTCGGTTGTACTCAAGCCGTGACAAAACCTTACCCACTGCAATCCCGGTTGCATCCTTTCTCGCGAAACTCTTGGCTAAAGCTGTCTGCAGGTCTGTTGGTGGCAGTAATACGTCTCTGGGTGCTGGCCGAGAAGGCGCTGCGTCAAACTTCCAGACCAACTTGGTTTTATGTGCTAATACATTCATAGTAGCACATAAGACAAAATACATTGCCACTGTAGAGGGGTACAGTCCGTGCAGATGTTGAGCCCTAATGAATATTATGTAAAATCAGGTCGTCTGGAACAACTCTTGTTCAGACATGAATCACTCAAGCCCACGGGTACGAGGCGCCCTTTTCAGACGTATCTGTGGTCAGGCATAGATAAGTCTGTTCTTTCTGTCGATTGCGGCCCATCTCCTGAAACCGAGGCCGGACACCAAAGCCAAAGCAAGGTCCCAGCGTCCACTGGCACAGGCACCTTGAGGCTTTTTCAGGATCAGAATCAAACATAGTGGGAAACTAGTCTTCCCGTGTTTTCCCTTACCCGTGGACTGCTGTGCAGGTATAGTAAGAGTGCTCTAGCCGTCCACGTTAGCGGATGCTCGTTCTCGCTGCAGCACATGGTTTATGCCAGCGTCGTTTCCTGTTTAAGGGTCCTTGCAGGCTGCATGCAACACAAACACTACCAGACAATTGCAGAACATGGCTGAAGTAAATGCTCTAAGCATCCCTACACACAAAATTTCTCAAGAAGCATGGCGTAGCCAGCTGCCGTTGCATCCTTCGGAAGGTTCAGTGTTTCGAAATCTTCAAAACGAAATTTTGACATTCAATCCCATTCCGACCACGAACCCACCCATGAGCACCTTCAACATCGCGTGGGTTACCTTTAAGCGCCTCTTAAACCATGTTTCCCCCAATATGTTTAGGGCCCAGCCTATTTTCGTGGACCACTGATACTCACCATGGGCACTTTATTCGGCAGACTGCTGCCGGGTCACTAGTGGCTGAGTTGTATGGTATGACGGACGTTTCAGTATTCCCCTGCTCCAGCGCGTGTAGAAGGCACAAGGCTGCGGCCCAAGATTCGCCTTCGCCTCACTGCTGCCAAATATGCTCAAGAAAAATTTTGCCAGGGGTTCATTCGCTTCTCTGTCCCTGTAACAACAACTAGCCTGCAATTATTAATTCAACTATAATCCATTGCGTGAAACCCCTGGTCGACACCAGGGTCAACTATGATGGATGTCAAGCAGTTTTCCTTTTTGGGGTGCCGGTTAATTTTTTCTCCCGAACATCCGAGTATCCGAAAGATGTTACGAAATCCAAAATGGAACACACTACGGGCGACAGTTCGTTCACAACAAAGTTCAAGCCGCTGTTTGCACAGGCGCTGATTGCTGCGTTGTAGGTGATCGAATTCCGTTGCACCCCGAAGCCCTCCATCGATGCTAAAAGGATGATGGCATGTGCCCACAAGCTGGCCGCGTCCAGCGAGCTCAGCGCCGTTGAGAAGGTGATCACATTTGCCAATCGCTGATTCTGCAGGTGGTGTAAGAATGAGATGGCTATCTTCCACTGCACGCCTCGGACGCACGCAGTGATGGCAGTGTTGTATGTGACCACCGATGCTTCGAGTCTGTGATCTTCGAGCTGCGGCAGCAGCTCCAGAGCTTGCTGCCACTGTGTGCGCTTCGCTAAGTTGTGGATGACCTGGTTGTAGTCTTCTATTCCATGGGTGGGCCTTCCTGCCGACCAGGGCCTGCAGGTGTCGCTGCCAGACATTGTGTGACATCCCTTGACAGGATTGGGCAAAGGGGCTGAGGCTTGAGGTACAAATGGCTATGCGGTATGTGCGAAACGGCCAGTTCCGGAAGGAGGATTCAAGATCAGAGTCGGTCCACGATCACTCGCGGGTGTGCAACAGCAGCAGCTGTCATCCAACGACATGTCCAGGTCATCCTCCTACATTTGCCTCTCCAAGTGCGGCGTGTAAAGCAGATCTGAGCCCTCAGCCCTACTGCTGCTGGTAACGACTCTATGCTCCCTGTTGCCAAGCTGCCCAGCACCTTCCCCCGGCTACCCACGGCGTCTTTGGCATCCGATGGCCACGCATGAGACGGAGCTATACTGGCACCTCTGACTGAATTCCCGAGGGAGGCACCCCCTGCGAATTTCGGCATGGAACGGTTTCCGTTTCCATCCCTGGGCATGGATGGCGTGTTGAGTCGGCTGCCACTGAGACACCAGGGTTACAATGCCACAGCATCCAAGAGTGCGGGTGTTGCGGGCGGAAGGTTTGGACACGAATACGCACAGCAAAGCGCATCCTGGCTACTCGGGGCATAAAGAGTGAAACGGCCTTCGTTGCTGTGTGGAAAGGCGCAGCCTTAGCTTTTGATTGCAGCAGAGTCCCGCTTGGGGTTGGTCCAGCGCAGACGGCGCAGATTCCACACGTTGATTCACGACTCCAATATCAGCCCCCAAGTTTACCGGGGGACATCAATACATGATGGTGTCTTGATTGTGGCAGACAGCAAGAAGTTGAGTGACTGCTTCTTCCACTGCAATTTAGCCAAATCCAGCCGCATCCGCGCGTCGCCAGTGTTGCCAAGTTGCCACGCTGCAATTGCCTGTGCACGTTGGGTAGGCTCTTAAGTCGGGTGCTTTTTCAGTTCTACACCGTGCCATATCAAATAATGCGACCAGGCTTATACGAGCCAGCATCCCTCACGGCAATGTGTTCAACTCGCCGAATGTCAATCGTTGTTCTTGCAGTCACCCTGCTACTTGACCCTGCTGTCCTCTCAATATCTCTCAATCTCCAACTTAAATGAGCCACAGCGCAGCGGACAGCCCCGAATAAACCCTGAATGAAAGACAAGACCGTTTGAACCAAGTGCAAATATGCGGTGCAGCAAACGAGGTCGTAAGACAACAACATCAGCACACCTTGGAAATCAACGTCAATTGCTAAAGAGAAGGACCAGGGACCAGGATCTGGACAAGTGACCTACTCCAGCTCGTCTTGCGGATGACTGATTGTATCTGTCAATGTAGCAGCCAGGTATAGCCAGAGGCAAGGACGGCAGCTTGCCAGCGTGTTCGCGTTCAGCGGCTGACATGTGTGAATTTCGGTGAGCCTGGTATTGTGATGACACTAAGTTTGCGCTTTGTTGAGAACCCACCGGTAAAATGTATGGCGCCAGTTCTGTTGCATGAGATGGCTGAAGCATCAAGCGCCTACTTGTTGTCGTTCTATGTCGTTCTGACAGCCGTTCGAGCGAAAACGCAAAGTGCCTTCACCTGCACAACGAGGGCATCTACTCGTAGTAGCACCCGAAGACCATGCCTCGGGGCGGTCAGAGAAAATCGCAGAAACAGGGCTCACATCGTCTTCTCGTGCCTGTACTCCCAGTCTTGAGTGGTGGGGCCTGCAGGGCCGACGTTCTTGAGTTCTGAGCCTCTGGTTGAATGGCCAGCCCGCAATGTTACCGTTGATCAGCGAAGCCAAGACATAGTCCCAGCTCAACAACATCTCTTGCAACATCAGCGGAGGTTGACGTGAACCTAGTCGCCGCGTTGCAGGCCTAGGCCCTAGAACTGGACCTGCCAAGCTCCACGTGCTGCGGCTGCCGGATCGGTGTAGGTCCCGCGCCGACTGCGAAGAGCGACTGGTTCTCAAAGGTATATGACGCCCAGTTGTCCGAGTTCACCTGGTGCAAAACGACAACATCTCCTGGTGGGATCTCTTGCTTGATTCCTTTCTGCTTCGGTCGCAAAGTGTCAAATTGTCAAATGGCTCAGCCCTTTCTCATTATCTCAGCTGCCGGCATCCCACAGGCACTTCGAAGCCACGCGAATACCCTGAGACCGAGACCCAGGATGCAACACAGAATGGTCGGAGAGAAAAGAATCACGCGGGTCTAGGTGCAGATGTCCGAGCCGGCCTGCGAGGCTTGTTCGCCGATGACTACCTGAAAGCTTGCGGCTCGTGGCAAGGCTTTCTGCGTGGTACGTATTAAGAGGGCCTGGTTCGCAGTAAGCTGCTCTGGGGCCTATCCGACCTATCCTCCCGAAGATTTCTCCGCGCAGCGATTGGACTGAAAAGCGCTGACAAGATAAACGAAGGAGGCCGTTGCAACTTGGGTGCGCCCGCCCGACCACTTTATCGCAGAGGTAAGCCATTACAGTGCAGGGTGCCTGCACGATGATCTTGTAGCGGGGGATGTTCAGATCTTGCTTGACTGAGGCCTGTCAAGCGAAGGCTCTGATGCCAAGTTCGTGGGACACGGACTGAGGCCTTGATCTCGTTGCTCAAATCCAACGTCCAGGCTTTGGCATCCTCTACGGCATACTCCTTGTCCTTTCGGTAGGGCCGCAGGTGAGGCATGTCTCTGACACTGCTAAACATGCGTGTCCATGCAGTCACGAGATTTTGGAGTTTCATCTCTGCATGCTAGATGGACTTATGGCTCGTCCCGTAGGCGTTGGAGAAGCCCAGATGGACGACTCCGGCTTGAACCATCCCACCACCAGCCAGGAGTTCCGAAACAGCGGCCAGCCGCCAGCACGTGTTAAGTTCGACTGGATGTACGTGGCCCGTGGCCATGACTTTTTCGTCCGGTGTTCCACCCTGCTCGGTCCTGCAGGTAGCTTTCCATGACGTTCTTGATGACTGCCGTGACTTTCGACGGCAGCATCTTCTCGTCATCCTGGCTTCTGGCACAGTGCCCGATGCGTGGGATGGGGAGGGGCGGCGCGGGATGGTGCTGGCCTTGGGCGCCATGATGTAGGTGTTCTCCCAGACATGGACTTGATGCTGCTCCCCCATGGCTGCGAACCTTGGCAAAGTCAGCTTGCGAGAAAGCACATGCCTCCGCCACCGAATAGTGAAGAGGCCACCGATCAAACCCACCCAAAAACCAAGCGAACATCATCAAAGGTGTCTACCCTCCCTTTCCGTTCCTCTCTCAGCTCCGCGCTTCTCCGATGGCTCCTTGGCGAATCGGTTTTTTGAAGACCCCGGGCCCGGGCTCGATGGGAAGCCTCTTTCGTAGCGCTGTGAGCCGAGAGTCGCGGACGTCTCGCTGGGCCTCTGCACATCGCTCACGTAAAGTATTTATGGCGGAAGAACGAGCAGAAAGCGTTTCTCCAAAAACTGCAAAGAAAGTCCTGGAGCTCCGGCATTTTTGATCAGAAAGCTTGCAGATACACGGGGCCCGGCTCGGGGGCTCCAGAGTCGGCATCTTTCAACATCCGGCGCCCGGCCCAGCTCAGGGTGAAATCGTCAACCTGCCATGAATTGACGCATTTTTTCTACACTCGATCCTCCTGCTGCTCATGCCGCGGCTTTCTCAAAGGCGCATGAGGCTGACTCTGGCAGATGCACAGCTGCACTACTAGTCGATTGAGGTCCCGCAGCAAACAGATGCCTGCACGTCGAAGGCCTCTACTCGTAATAGCATCCGAACACCATACCTCGGATTGCACGACATGTCTCGTGCAGCGTCGCTGCCTGTCTGCTTATGTTTGCCATTCCACTTGCCCCTTAATGTAAGTTTGCCTCAGACAATACTCCGGTCGGGTCAGAGTTGGAAAGCCATTCAAAGGCTTAGGTCTGCAGCCTTCTAAGATTCTAAGCCCCGTGCCGACTGCGAACAGCGACTGGTTCTCGAAGGTGTATGACGCCCAGTTGTCTGAGTTCACCTAGCACGAAACTGCGCGAAGTCCTGCTGGGATTTCTGGTCTTAGCACCTGCTGCTAACCTTTTCCCGCTGTCTCAGCTGCCGGCATCCCAAAGGCACTTCGAAGCCACTCGAATACCCTGGGAAAGTGCTGGGCTGTATTTGAGGAATGGCTGAGACCTAGCTCTAACCGGACAACTCCAAGGCGAGGATGCTGCCCCAAACGATCAAGTCGTACTGAACGGGGCACTGCAGTGACTTGCAGGTGGACATAGGGGGGGATACCTAGTAGGGATCCCACCTGATCCCTACGATCTTGTCTACTTAGAGTCTTTCTTCCCTGAAGCTTTCAGCTAATCTTTTTCAAAGACCGATTGCCTGCGAGGCTTGCTCACCGATGACGACCTGCAAAGACGATGTTTCCGGCTTCCGTTCCATATGCATATACATACAGCATACACATACATATGCATACACACATCTATGTTGATATGTATACGAATATTCTGAGTGATATCTGGAGACAGCAGCTTAGCTTAGAGGCTCATGGGGTTTAAGATTTGGCTGTTTTCTGTCATGTGGGTCTGTTCTACTCAGTTCTTCTACTGGATTTCGGGTTTAGTTTAGGGTTTGGTTTAGCATCTCTTCCACTGGGTGTGCGTTGCTACAGCAGTGATATAGATGTGTCGAGAGAGGGCTGCTCAGCCACAGTCACAAATTCCACCCTAGGGTTTCTGGCGGCCAAGTGCTCCATGCATGTCCTTCATGTCCTTTTAGTGTTTCGACCTAAACTCCTTCTTCCACCCCTGGCTGAAAGCTTCCCTCGCAACACAGCATACTTGAGAGGAGGCATCATCAAGTGCTTTTATTTAGAGAAGGTCCTCAGCAGTCAAGACTGCAGCAGCTTACTAAAGAGTACAAGGTGCAGGGAAAAGCAGCGCAGGTTTTAGGCAAACCCTTGCATGAAACAACGGGGTTGTGCGCAAAGAGCCGGAACCAAGCAAAACCCAGGTAAGGGCTTAGGGTTAGGGTTTCTTGTTCTTGGGATGTAGGATTTTAGCGCTTACTGAGAGGAACCCAGGGGCCTTTAGCATGATTGCAGCCCCAAGCCGCATGGACCATATGGATGAAGAGTCTGCAGAAAGCTCTCGGAAATTCCGGTTCCTCTTAGTTGTCGCTCAGCGGGGCAATGTCGTGGTCTTTGCGGGGTAGCCGGCCGAATGTTACGAAACACCTCTACGAAGGCGACTTTGGCCACCTTAAAGGTGCCTGCACGATGATCTTGTAGCGGGGGATGTTCAAGTCTTGCTTGACCGAGGCCTGACGAAAGAGTCCCGCAGGGTCGGTGCAGTCCTTTCACTCGGAGCCCTGGCTGCTACGGACCTACAAGACAAGCACGTGTTGCTTGCGCCCTGTGCCTTGTGCACTGAGGCTAAACTAAACCTTCTCGACACCTTTTTCAACCAGAGGGGCACGCGGACAAGAGGCACTGAAAGTGGGGCCTTGATCTCGTTGCTCAAGTCCAACGTCCAAGCTTTTGCGTCCTCTACGGCGTACTCCTTGTCCTGTGAACTCCCGCAATCATCGCTACTGGCTCTGTGAAGACCTAGCAGCTGTCAGCGCACGATGAGCTGCAAAACTCACCGCAGAAAGCATAAGTTGGAGGGAAAGGTCTGCCGGGCATGCATTGTCTTATCCTGCCACCCTGTTCGGTCCTGCAGGTAGCTTTCCATGACGTTCTTGATGACTGCCGTGACTTTCGACGGCAGCATCTTCTCGTCATCCTGGCTTCTGGCACAGTGCCCGATGCGTGGGATGGGGAGGGGCGGCGTGGGATGGTGCTGGCCTTGGGCGCCATGATGTAGGTGTTCTCCCAGACATGGACTTGATGCTGCTCCCCCATGGCTGCGAACCTTGGCAAGGCTAGCAGGCCAGCAAGCGAGAAATCATAACACCCATGTTCACCCGGCATCCGCTCACCCCAAGCAACTTCCTATTCCGCAAGACTGCATCTGAAATCCATGCCTGAGCTCTCGGCTTCAGCCCTTCGCAGAGCACTCAGGCAAATCAAGCGGGAGCAGTTCAGAGGGCAACCCCTGCGGAAGCCCTGCTGTGAGCCCGGTGACGATCATCCGAATGTTTCAGCGCTCGAGCTCGACCGGGTCAGGCGAGGTTTCAAAGGACAACTGGCTGCATGCTAATGACATTGTTGAAGCCTGTTCGAAACCTGTGTCTCCGGCTACGATGAACTGGGACACGTCAAGCGACACCGCTACATCCTGAAATGCTTGCTAGTGACTTTTCTGGAAGTTCAAACACCCCAGCATCGATCAAACCCTGCCAGCAGGTAATCACACAATTTCTCTAAAATATGTTTGAACGTGGGGTCCACACGCGTGACCCCTCAATGCACTCGGCCTATTGAGGCTCCAATGTTGAGCCGGAAGCTCGGGAGAGCAACTTGGAGGCCTCAGAATCTTCGGGCATAAAACCTTCCTGCTGAATCCTGTGGCATGGCACGACGAAGCCTCGAGACGAAGCTTACGACCACAATGTGCGGGCTTTTCTGCATCCACTATGCAACGAAGGGCCAGAGTCTGCTTCTTGCAACATCTGACGTCCAGCTCAGAGTGAATCGCAACCTTTCACAAGAAAGATTCTCCGCAAGCTCCGAAATTGAAAACACAGGCCTTTCTGGAAACTGCATGCTAGCACGGGATGCGGGGACACTCAGTGAGGGCTACTCTTTTGCGACTCCCAAGCCCAAGCGCCTTGCGGCTGGAGGACTATCTTCGCCGTTTCTTCGTGCTTGTAGGCAGGAGTTGGGCTCTCATTTCCTCACTGCACCACAATCGAGCCTAGAGCTCCAGCCGTTGCAAATGAGCCGCAAGCAACTGCCCCTCTGCTTACCTGAGGCAGATAGCTGGGCTCGACTCAAACGACCGTTAGCTGGGCGTACCCGGAAACAGCAGCTTCTGCCAGTGTAGACTGCAGGGTCCAAACATGCTCACGGTGTCCTCGAAGGTAATGAGGTCCTCTTCGTGGCCAAAGATCTTTGTGATGGTTTCTGCCTCAAAGAAGAGGAACTCGTCAGAGTGTCCGCGGTCGAAACAGTCTTCTCAGTATAGCTTAGCATGGTGTCCAAGTGCTGTGTCACCGCTTGCTGACAGAGGGTTGCAACGCAAAGGTTCACCCTGTCGAGATCAGCCCTGAGCATCCGCCTTTCCAAGTCAACCACAAGCCACTACGAGTATCACAGCACAAGCACCGACACATCTGGGGCGCATGTCTGCATAAAAAACCTTGGGAAAAGCAACCGAACAGAATATGTTGGCCGAGGTCCGGGAAAGCATTGCGTTCTTTGGCGTGGCAGTGTAGCGGCTGTGCAGTACACCATGTGCAGAACTCGAAAAGACATGCCTTAAACTTAAACATACTGCACAAATATGTATCTGCATGCGTAAAACCATAGATACATAAGTAACTAAACACAAATGAATACACCATTGCGTACAAACAAGTGAAACAAACAGCATAAGATATGTATATACAAATATAGGTACACACACATACATCTGCCCATCCATGCATGCATACATGCATGCATGTGTCCATCCATCCATGCATCCAGGAGCCAGCAATGCATGCATACATACGATCAAACACCCATATATGCATATACACACAAACAAACATACCGTATGTTGACATACCTACATACCTGCATGCACGCATCGACACATGCACGCGCACCACGCGCAGAGAGAGCAAGCGAGAGAGAGAGAGAGAGAGTGTGTGTGTGTGAACATGCGCATGAGGTTTTTTCTCATACCTTTCAGCTTTGTACGCCGCAAAAAATTCTTAGAGTGCCAGGCCGGACTTTGCTGAACGCTGCGGTTGGCCAGAGGCAGGACCTGGTCGTAGCGAACGAGTTGAAATGCCCCGACTTGTGGTTAGCCCTCTGCATACAGAAACAAGCGGAAACAGTGAGCTGCACCACGAAACCATACTGCATGCCCTTACGGTCATGACTGCGACAAGCCCTGCTTATGCACGCAGGAGTGTCATCTCAAGTACGCAAGCCCCCATTGCAAATAAAAAGTACGAGGCCTTCTCCATGAAGGCTTCAAACTCTGCACGGCTCAGCCTCGGCGCGAGTCGTTGCATTTGTTCAGCGCCCGGCATGAGCAAACTATCGGAATTTCAAAAGCGGTGAGCTGGATGCTCCTGCCCAGTTTGTGCTTGGTCGGAGGTCTGACACTTCAGATTCCCAAAATGCACGGCTTCAGGCTTTCCAAAAAAGTCTTCTCACCCCTTGCTCCTCGAATACTGCAGACCTGCGTCAAAACTCGCACATGAATCAGAACGGGAGCAGGTTTGTGTAACAGCTTCTTACGAGGCGAGGTGCATTCCATCGCCATTGATGTCGTGCCGCCGGAAAAGTTCGAGGAATCGGTCCTGCAGTACGCCGGATTCACCAGTAGATTCACGACAGCTTTAGCCGATAGCACCAGACTTCACCAAAAGAGCTCAGACCCGAAGTCCGTGAAGCTTCCTAGTCTGGAGTCGCTGGGGAGTCCGAAGCACAACAAAGGTCAGCAAATGGACCTCAAAACCATCAGATCAAGGTGCCTCCAGGAGATCGGTGTAAACCGTCCTCGTATGACAAGAAGCATCTCTGAGGCCCAACCCCTCTCGTGCTCTCGGGTTCGGGTCTCTCCAGCTTCACTGATTTCTGCATCTCTCTCGCCGTCTGTATCTCTCGCTTCTTCAGGGACTGAGTCACAGAGTAGGTCGAACCTTGTCACACGCACCGGCTTGCTCGCCCCGACCTACGACCCCCAAAAACCCCATAGCCGAAGGACTAAGGTTGACGCTCCCAAGCGGCGTGTGCAACCCTGAGGGCCCGGCAAGACAAACTGGAAGAAACGCTTCTGAGCTACTCATGACGTGCCCGGGCCCCGAACCTTCATGATAACTAGTAGTTTTGTGACTACTACTATCCTGCTTAAAGCTACTAGTTGCCAAGCCGTAGGACAGGATGACGTGCACATCGGAGGCAAAACAATAAGACAAGGCGTTCTCACGGTTCTCTTTCTCGCTCTCTCGCTCTCTCGCTCGCTCGCTTGCTTGCTTGCTTGTCAATGCACACCAACACATTCATAGACACGGCGTCCTCTACATGCCTATAGGCTTGACGGATCTGGGAGCCCGGGCAAGACGCCAGCCGAGAACTCGCTGAAAGACAAAACCCCGTCCCCGTTGATGTCCAGCCTGGTGGAATCATGGCAAACGGTTGAGGCACTTCTGCCCTGAAACCTTCAAGTAAGTGACCCTAACCCGCGCTGCCCAAGCCGAGGGACGTCTGGAAAGCTCGGTTCTGAAGGCTCCGGTCCTCACATCGACTCGCTTTCTCGGGCCTTCCCTCCTCTCCAACTCTCTCCTCAAAGCCACTCAAGTCATTTCTTCACGCTTCGCGAACGCAAAAGCCGCGCAATGTCGGGATGCCCGCTTTGACTGGCCACTCGGAAGGGGCTGCATCCTCGACTGTCGACCCAGGTTACATCTGTCAGGGCCTCCATGCACCACATCCAAACGGCCGTGTTCGCACGCCACATGAAGTGGTGTTGCAAATTGATCGCTGGCCTGATCCGTGGCGGCACGAGCTTGCAACAGCAACCGTGCGACATTAGCATGTCCTCGTTCCATTACTTCCAGTAAAAGAGTTTGGCGGCCAGGACCTGTTACAGGGTCAGTCTCGTCATGTCCAGATCCAGAGCAGCAAGGCTTCGGCATGGCCACGTCTAGCCGACTCAAGAACTTCCCAGCACTCCACTTGCAGTCAGCTCCTGCCGCCAACAAGCGGCAAACAACATCTGTGTGCCCCTCCCGTGCGGCAATTGCAGAGCGGTGTTGTGCCACACGCTTCCAAGGCTCTGAAAAGCGGCGCATCCAATGCATCTCCTGCCTCTCCAGTGGCATTTGGCTTGTGCATTGTTTCAGGAGCTCCGCCACTGTCCCAGTCTTCGTCTCTATCGACCGCCTTCCTGAGTCGGCGCCTCTCCAAGTCCGAGGTCGGGGAGAAGTCTAGCAAGACGCAAATCTCGTCCACCCTGACGTCATCAAACATCTCTGTACCATTGTGGAACAGCCGCTGTCGAAATCGCGGAACACCGCAGCATTGCTGCAAGTGCAACTTCAAGTCACGAGCAATCATCACCTCCTTGCAGGGTGCGCTGGTCAGCTCCTCCGAAGAGGAAGCAAACACGACTTCGATGTCTGAGGTGGAGAAGGTGGTGACCTAGCAAGTCCTACCCGTTCTCCAACACGCAACACCGAGATGTTGCAACTTTGTCTTCACTGGTGCACTCCAGGCCAGGTACTCCGCCAAGATGGAATCAAGAGCCAACCAGCCCTCCACCTATTCGTCATGGACCAGAACTACATTGCTACACAAGAATGTTGATGTGTCCTTCCCTGAAGCACTCCATGCACGGATAATGCTGGTGGAACTGCCGGTCTCCATGGCTCCATGGCTCACGCCACAATGGACCACGAAGAGTCACGGAATTCGAGTTACTGCACGGGGGGTTCGTTCTACCCACCACAACCACTTAAATGATCACATGGGTAGGGATTCCTTTAAATTACCATAATACTAGAGTGTTACACAGGTGCTCTTGACTTTTGACATCGGTTGCGATATGCATCAGCGATGTAAACCGCAGCATATGCACCGCGCTCACGGTGAATGAACGGTGTCCTACAAACACTTCGCACAACAACTGTCTAGACTTCGACTGCTTTACTGAAGGATCAACTTACATGGAATGGTGCGCAGTACCAATGTTCTACTCAGCCGTGTTAAGAGCTGCAGTGCTCTGAACCTCCGGGTTCTGATGGGCTACCCTGCTTACACATGGTCATGTGAGGGTACTCGTCAAGTACCTCTCGCTGGCACGTGTGCATGTCACACTCGCCGGCGGGCAGTCGGCGTGCGTCCTTGAGGCCCATCTGCGAAAACAGGCGCGCCAGCTCCTGCCGTATCACTCTAACTTGAAACTCCTGCAAATGGGCGGTTATTGCTGTGGTTGTTCTCCAGTTGGGCAGGATTTGCCAAAAATCAAACCTGCCTCCAGGGAAATGCTGCCATCGCTGTTCTCGTCGATCTTCTCAAATACCTTGTAAGCCAAGCCGAAGGTTGGTACTCAAGGTGAGGGGTCCACAGTTTGGCGGCCGGGCCTTTGCGATGCGCTCTGCGCGTTCAATCGGCAGCTTGGATGCCACTTCCATGATCACAGCCTCGGGGAACGATTGGACACTTCCTCGTAGCTCACAGAAACCAAGATCTCTTCCGAGAAAGCGAACCGGGCGGGCGCCAAAGGCTTTTGCTTTTTTTCTCAAAGCGATGGGAGCCAGGGCAGCCAGGGCAGCGCTGCCTTAGGCAGAGGCCACTTTCAAAGGCCACCAGGTGGGATGCGGGCGAAGCGCATGTGCTAATGCACTAACCGCTTCGCCACTTTTTTTTGTTGCTGGCCGCTAAACGTGGCAAGTTGAGCGGCAGGGAGCCACCAGGGGTTAAGACATGTGCTGAGATGTCTTTCGAAGCAAGTCTGCATGGTGGCCGGAAGCAAACACAGCACGCCACGACACACCTGCGGGAAGCGCATCCCCTCAGAAGAACAGTTCGTCTCATATTGCCATCGATGAAGAAGCGCCCAAACAAAGACACATCTCCGTTTTCGAGCCAGGCGTCGTCACGGTCGTGTGCGGCCCGGTGCGTTTACTGCCAAGGCCACAGCCGCAACGAGAAGATGCAGTGCGGAAAGCCTGCATTCGAGGAAGCCCTTGGCTTGATACTTGCCCGGGGTGCCAACGCTTCCGCTTGGAAGGATTGGGCTGCTGAGGGTTTCTGCCTGCATGCTACCGGAATTCACCTTGTAGGAGCGGCGCACTTTTGGCTTCTAGGGTTGAGGATTTCTGGCGTTTGGCTCGGGGTCTCTGGATTTCGAGGTTTACAAGTGTTTGGTTTAGCATTCAGGCTTTGGCATCCCGGGTTCAGGGTTCAAGTCAGGTTCTGTGTGGTGTGGTGTCTCGCTCTTAGGTTGGATGGCTTGTGCTTTTCGAGCATCGGGCGTTCACGGTGGGTTTAGGATTTACGGTTTTTGGAATGTGGGCTAGGGTGATGAGGTGTGGGATTTACTCGCGTTTTTCCATGCTCCAGTTTGCGGTGATTGCGGGACATTTGTAAGGTCACTATTTCAGGTTTCGTCCATTTCGTGCCTTTCTCGGTGGGCTTAGGCTTTCCAAGGCTTTGGGTTAACACAACTGACAACACTCCTCAGGGCTTGCGATTCTTGTGATTATGGGCTCGGTTTATAGCTCGGGTTCGAAGAGTTTAAGGATTACCGTTGGGTTCACGCTCTGACGGCTTAGAGTTTTCAGGATTATGGTCATTCGGATTGCGAGTTTGGGCTTGTGCATGGGAGTAGCTATTGCAAGTTTTCTGTGTGCTAATGCCTCATTTCTTAAGGATGCATTTCGGCTATGGCTTGCGTTCATGTGTTTTGCGGCTGGGACATCTGCCAAGCCCTTGGCCTTTTGGGCTGGGGTTGATGTAGGCAACCGTGTTCACGTATTTTGCCTCAGCAGCCAATCCACGCACATCTCGAAGTCGTTGGTGACTCCCAGCCGCCTGCACGGTGTGAAATTGTCTGCAAGCTGATTCTCGATGGCTTAACAAGTTCAGCAGTGCCAGCTTTGGTCACAGCTTCCTGCACAGCTGGTTTTCTGTGGCATTATGGTCCTTTTGCACTCCGCAAAACCGACCAGGTTACAAGAGGACTAAAGCAATGCGGCAGCACATCTTGAGGGCCTACTCGTACAACACTTCCCAACTTACGCGCTCTCTCCCCCTGTATCTATAATTCCATGTGCTTGAAGAGTAGAATGTATGCACACCTATGTACCGTATGTGGCTACATCGTCAATACCGGCCTCTTGCATGAGAGGCTCTAACTACACATTATCGTCCACTGCGAGTAGCAGAAGAGGTGCCTCAGCACCTCATCTCCCGAACGGACCAAGGCCAAACCTGCCAGCTTGCGGGGATTTTCAGAGAGGCCTGTTCCTTTTGGGCTTGAATGATTGCCGCTACCTTTTCTTATCTTTTCGATTCCAACTGTTAACTCTTAATCTTGTGGTTGTCGTCGTGAGCATCACCACTGTTGCTTTTGCCTATGCCTCTCAACTGTTCCTGCTCCTAAATAGCACTTCAGCCGGAACTGCAAACGGAAACTCTAATAAGAAGTGACTTCACATCTCTGACACCCTCCGGTTACCAGCTTCCAGATCCAACAGCTGTCAAGAACACCAGCGGTGAACTTTCTAGCTATGGTGTGTAGGGCACAGCTCTGACAGAGAAAGCACAGCGCGCGCCCACTTCACACGACATTCGACGAATCAATCTTCCAAAAATGCCTCCCATGCGCGGAGCATCGGCGGCGCTTCTGGCCAAGTCCTATCAGAGCGAGCAGCAGGATATGCTTCGGACCCCACTTTACGCTAGGCTTTCGTGCTTTGCTTGAGGCTCAGTGAGGCTCAGTGGGCTAAGCATCAACGGGTTCAGCGCAACACTGGTACTCCGGCAGGACTGACTCGAAAAGGAGACTGCTCAACGGGTTCTGCTCCGCTGAATGCACTCCCCCGGCTGCGCATGTGTGGTGAAGTCTGAGGATGTTTGCGGGGAAGAACTGGTTGCAAACCAGTGTCCAATCCCCGCAGCTCAGCCACGCAAAGGGCTTCGATGGCATAGCCTTTGTGATGTGGCAGCATGTTGTTCAGTGTGCAAGGGAGTCAGAGACTGTGGTGCACTACATATCCCTTCCTGAGACTCGCACGTATTGGTGACAGACCATGCAGCAACTCCATGAACTGGCCATTTGCCAAAACGGATCAGACATGTCTCACAAGATGCTCAGCAAACGCCACAATCGCAATCAAGGGCTTGTGCTGGCGATGTATGATTTTTATTGTCCTCGACGACGGCTTCTCATCTTTGCTACGGCGCAGTTGTTACGACAATCCCGAATTTAATCTGCGCCTACAGTTTGCCTTGTCCTGAATCCTGAATCAGGATCAATGATTGGTGCGCTATCAATGGAGGCCTGATTGGCGCTGTGGCCAACCTAGGCTGTCTTGACAAACTGGAAGTCGAACACAGTAGCTGCTTACTACACATCCCAGCTTTGAGTACAACTTGAAAAACCTTCTTTGGCAACCGCAGAGGCTTCAAGCCACGACGCCACAAAAAGCCAGCATCGTCAAGAATCTCAACTCTAGCCGTCTTGAAGCTCCTCATAGCCTGTTCCTGAGGGTCCTCTCTGCAGTTTCCTTGTGCAAGTCTTACAGTCTGTGTTCCGACGCAGAAGCCCAATGCAGATGAGCTGCCTGTCCAGCTGGATCGATAACGCCTGCCGTGAAGGTGGGGGCGACGAGGATACCCAAACTGTGTTAATGGCTTCCAGCATATCGGCTGTATCAAGACCCAAAATGATAAGCACTTCCCCTGCCCGGCCTGTCAGCATGTGCACGATCATCACCTAAAATAATGTAACACGCTTACGCTTCAAAGGCAGCCAGCTGAGGTCCAAAAACCGGGCGTTCTCGGCAGGGCAGCTGCGAGTTGTTTCGCTTAGTATTCCTTGTGCTGCGATCCTCTCCATTCAGTCTGCCACTATCCTGTTGAGTTGCCTGTTCCTGCTCTGTCCGAGTCAAGGGACTGGGCCACCCATTGCCACGGCCCGCTCTGCCGTGGACGCCGCAGCTCCCACAGCCAGGCCGAGGGTGGACGCCGCCGTCTTTGCTATGGGGGCTAGGGGAAGCCACGAACCCAAGGTGAGGAAATGACACAGTAGAAGGACGATGAGCTCTTGACACTGAGCAGGAACACTGTGCAAAAGACCCTCGAACGCAACTCAGCTCTTCAAAGCCGATTCATTCGCGATAGTTTCACATCCTGAGATGGAATCCCTGCTCGAAAAGCAAAGCCAGCTTCGCGCACCCTCCAAACCTTGCATCAACAATCAACTCTGCCACTATGTCGGCCAAGAACCGCCACAAGGGCGAATGACAGGAGCACTGCCTCACGCCTTGTCATCGGGACTCAACGCCATTCGTACTGGCAGTTAGATGGTTGGGGTGTCCTACTTGGCCTGGACCAAGAATGGGTCATGAGGCCGCTGGTCATAATAATCATAGAAAAACATTGCTTGCTGATACATGGACAAAGCAGATATCGGCTGTGTCCCACATTTTTCCTAAACCGCTTGACCTCTACTGCTTTCTTGGCATAGGCAATTCATTCATTCAGCCTGTAACTGGCGCGATGAGCTTAAGCCAGCAGGCAGATCAGAATCAGTCTTTGCACCTTTCGCGCCTTGCATGGAGCCCGCAAATTTCGTGGACAATGGCGGCGAACAACACCGCCGAAAGAGCATCCAAAGGGAGTTCCGTGACGGCCTGGCAATATTTGGACTCCATGTGTAAGTGTTGATCATCTTTGGAAAGAGACCTGTGGACTGTGGACATCGAGCACAGATCCCTTAGGCCCCCTGCCTTGGAGAGCAGGTACACACCACCGCCGTACAACCGAGCAAGGCGCTCGCGCTTGACTATGGCCCTCTCCTGGATGAGTAGTGAACTCTAGGACTCTAGGAATTTCCGACGGAGGGCTTCGAGGCTCCACTGCGCAGTGCTGGACATGTTTATGAACTTGACGCCCTCTCTTTTCTTGATTTTTCCGGGCAGGGCTTTCGGGAAAGGTGGGCCTTCGCCGGCTCAGCATCGCAAGCAAGCTTGCTGCGGCATTGAATGATGATAGCTGGCTGGAAGTACGCTGATTGATCAGCACCGCAAGAGCCCTAAACTCCAAAGCTGAAGCCCGAAAAAAGAAAACAGTAAGGCAGAAAACACCACAAACCCCTAAAAGCCAAGGTTTCCTTGGCAAAGCGATCCACAGCCCTTGCCATCGCCAGGAATGCCATGGCGATGACGCCGAAAGACCTTGCTGTCCCTCACGACTGTGTCGTTTGCGGGCCTTTAATTTAGAGTAGTGTTTGGGGTTACAATATCGTGTAATGATATCCGGCTGGCTGCTGTAGTTATCCAAACTCATACATAGGCTTGAGAACCAAACGAACCCGATAATGTGGTCAGATCTCCGAGAGAGCTCCGTATTTTGAGGGTCACCTGGAACAGGTAGACTCGCCGGCTCGGCACTGCAAGTGTCAGCTTTCTTGAAT